CCGCACTACAATTAAACCTGAATACTGGGGTGTTAGTCTAGAAAAAATCAACTCTTAGCATCTTTTGTCTTAAACATGTATGACATAGGTTCACCACCACTGTTATAAGCTACACGTAACTCTGCTTTTAAAATTAATTAATTGTTGGACTATTTTATTTTAATTTTTCTCTGATTTAATGAATAAAAATGGACATGAAGACCAGGACTCGCATTAATATTAAGACCTTGTTTCTGTTTCCACTGTGAAGGATGGAAGAAAGTCAGGGGCGGGTCCATGGTAAATGTCAATGAGCGGGCTCCCAATTCTCTAGCTGTTGATTGATTTCTTTGAGTTTTTATTCTTATCAGCCCATGTTTGCAGTTCATAATGGTTACAGTGACTGTGGGCAGTTGTCCCGGCCCTCCCATCCATTTATACCGCTCTGCTCCCTGCTTTCCCAGCTGCTAGCTTTCTTCCACTCCATCTTGCAGTTTATCATCTTCCTAAAACTCATCATGCCAGCCTTTGCTAAGGAACCTTCATTATTTCTCTAGCGCTTACAGCATAAAGTGAGAACGTGTCTACCTCTCAGCATCCAGGAGCCAGACACGCGGCCTGCTGCCCTCCCTGGCCACTGTCCTGCGCCTCTGCGGCCGGGCTCCCCAAGTGTCCAGTTCTGCCCAGTGGGGTCTCACTCTCGTCTCAACACCAGGCTGTCCCCCTGCTGCTTGCTTCTTGCGTTTCCGTGTTTCCACGTGGCCCCTGGGGTGTGGGCTCCTTGAGGAGGAGGGTGGTGGCTCTTCTCCGTGGGCGTCCATCCCTGTTTGTGCAGCGCATTCCTCCCTGCCAGCACCGCCCGGCACGGAGACCCAGGTGACAGAGCCAGGCAGGACCTTTACCTGCCACCTTAACTCTGGCCGAGCGGGCGGTGCGGGAAGTGGGCCGCACACTGTGACCCCTGTCTCCCTCCACAGGTCCCCTATCACGAGATGGAGATGCTCAAATCCAGGCTTGAGTTGGTGGAATACTTGCAGGGAAAACTCTTTCCCCAGAACCCTTCTGTTCATTGGTGACAAGGATACTGGCTTTGGGACACGATAGTGAAAGAACTTGTGGTCTCGGGACAGTTTATGAAAGGAAAATGACTTTTGAATCGGTCATGTTGCAGAATTTTGTCTATGGCCTGGTGATCCAAAAAGAGTCTGTGGTTTTCCTTATATTGTGTATATACTTATTTGTAGTAAATGTAAAATTAATGCTAATGTCATAGACATTTTTACACAGAAAGAATTGATCAAGTATAATAAACAGTGAATAAATGTTCCTTTTGAGTCTTTTATTTGTAATAGCTTTCTGCTAAGAGAAAATACACTCTTTAGAGACCTTCGTTTCAGAGAAGGAATTTTATTGCACTTATTTTTATATTTTGTCACAAGTGATGTAAGAAGCAGAAATAAGAAACAGACTGGTATTTTTGATATCAACATAATTACAGAACCATCCATAAATAACACTTAGTAAGCTATTAGTATTGGAACTTTATCATTTTTTAAGTATAAAAAAATGAAAGCAGATTAATTTAGGTTGGGTTTGGGGGACAGCATTAGCAGAGCAAGCCTTCTGAGGTGAGATCGGAGTGAATTAACTGTGTAGGGAAAGGGGAGTTGCCAGAGAACCCTGCAGTGGCCCTGGCCTCCTGTGAGCCAGGACGAGGTCCTCGAGATAGGAAAGGGAAACAGAAAACACTCAGAACGACTTGAGGGAAACTGAGTCCTGGGCTGATCTAAGCCTCTCTGGGCAGCAAAGACACAGGGCTCCCAGGACGTCCAGTGATTACTCATTGCCAGTGTGGGAAGGGGAAGCCGGGCAGCCTTGGGACACCTGCTGATAACAAGCACCAAGCAGGCGGGACTGGGGAATGAGGCACAGCTGTGCTGCAGAGAACACAGGGTTCATTCAGAGGGGAGAGTTTCGCTGAGCCAGTGGACCCTGACTGGGGGTGAACTCAGCTGAGCTCTGCCACTTCAAGGTCACGGCTGGATTAGATGACGGAGGGTCGAGGAGAAGCTTGGACCAGTGCAGCCTGCTGATCCTGGGCAGAGCTGTTGGCTACAAACTCGGTTCACTCTTGGTGCTGCACTGTCCTTTGGCTCGGGGTAGTGTTTCAGGCAGGAGAGGCTGAGGTGTGGTTTGGAAAGAACTTTGGAGCCAGGGCCCGGGTTCTGCCACCGCCTTGTGCCAGGGCTTTGGACAAGGACAGGCTGCCGTTTGTGGTACGCGCACTCCACTGAGCCTGCACTGAGCGCCTGGGCATCGTGCCTGTGTGCTCTTCCTAGTCCCGGTCCGGTGCTGTCCCCATCCTGGAGCGCCGAGCAGCTCCCAGAAGCTGCGTGTCCTTCCGGGTGTCACTCAGTAGTGATGAGCACACCATTGGAGTTGTGCTGAGGAGCAGCAGCACAGTCCGTGGTCACCGGGAGTCCAGGTTCAGGAATTGGTGTCTCAGTTCATCCCAGCTTTGCCACCTGATGCTGCGGCTTGGCCTTCGGCTTCCTGAGGGAGAACCACCTGGCAGCGGGGTTGTGTCTTGGTCTCCTAGGTGTGTGTGACAGAGTAGCACAAAGTGGGTGGCTCACATCAACAGATGTGATTCTCTCGTCCCTGGAAGCTACAAGGCACAGGGTGTGGCCAGGGCCTTGCTCCCAGAAGGCCCCAGGGGCCCCTTTCCTGCTTCTCCCAGCTTCCCGTGGCCCCGGCTGCCTTATTTTGCCTTGGTGTGGCTAACCTGCCCCCTTCGTGTCCCTGTCCCTGCTTCCTCCCTGGCCCTAGGCGTCCAGGTGTCTGTCCCCACGTGCCCCTCTCCGCTGTGGCCGTGTGCACGTTTTCCTCTTACGAGGGTGCCGGCCATGCTGGATTAAGGTCACCCTCATGAACTCACCTTCACTTGCTTACGTCTGCAAAACCCCAGTCCCCAAAGAAGTTCACATACACACACGTTTTGTTTTGCTTTTTGCGACAGGGTCTCGCTGTGTAGTTCACGCTGGTCTTGAACTCACTGTGTAGCCCAGGCTAGCCTGGAACTCCCAGTGACCCTCCTGCCTCAGCCTCTGGAATGCTGGGATTACAGGCGTGCGCCACCACGCCTCATGACACATACAGCTTTTGAGGGGAGGAGGCAAGGACGCAGTTGAAATGAGTGTATAGTTAGTATGTGTAGAGAATACCTAGGTGCCTTGAACAGAGCGAGTGCGGAACCCCTTAGCTAATATTGGTGGCGAATCCCCACCCCGTCATGCTGCAGACCTCTTTAGCTTTGGTCTGTCTTTAGGAAGAGGAGACTAGATGAGCTCTAAGACCGCTGTGACATTATGCCTTGGCTGTGGAAAGGGAGGGAGACACAGAAGCAAATGGAGAGTGCACAGGAGAGGTGCCACGGATTCAGACGGCTCCAGGCTCCCGGAAAGGACTCTCACCTCTCAACATCTAGTTAACTGCGGTTCACAGGTTTTCACGGAGGTTAGACCACTTAGCAAGTGGTGCTGACCGAGCCCAAGATCTGCTCTGGGTCCTGTGGGGAGTCGCCTCACACTCGCTGCCAGACCCCCGTCCGGGCCACCTCGGGCTCCTGTGAGCGAGCTTCCCACCCCAGCCGGCCTCCCTCTCCTCCCGCCCCTGTGTCCACTCAGTCGCGGTGTGGAAGTCCACCCTAAACACGGTCGCGGTGGACGGTTCCCAGTTCCAGAAGGACAGAGACCAACGCAGTCAGGAAGGGCACACGCGAGGACGAGCCGTGACAGGCAGACGCTGCCGCAGTGTGTTCCTCCTGTTCCTCCTGAAATGCTCCTCTGCCTTAGGAAGACAGCTTGGGTCCTATGTACAGGGCTGGCGGCTTCCCAGGTAGGGGTAAATTTGATAAGCCAAGTCCCTTTAAACTGAATCTTCACGCCTCCGAGCTTTAAAGTCTGTGCCGTGCAAAAGCGGTGTGGACGTACACGTCCAGCCCAGGAGCACTGGGTGCCATGGATTTGGCGATTGTGAATAAGGCACAGCCTTGCTCCGTGAGTCTTTACAGTAAAGCAAAGAAAGAAAAAACAAGTGGGAATAAATGTTTTCTAAGCATAATCATTGAACAGTAATATTCTTCGGGCTGTCACGAGGGGGCAGCAAAGTTTAAGAAATCGACTGGGTTACAGCATTGCAACCCTTGTTCGCTAGAGTAGATGGGGGGAGGGGAGAGGGGTGGGGCGGTGGACGGGTGCAGCGACAGTTCTGCCTGAAGACAAGCAACTTCCTTTTCCTTTCCCCTACCTGAACCAGGTGTGGACAGAAGACTGCTGGGATGAAGAGACGCTGGCTGGAGGGAAACCATTGAGGATGATGATCCTTCCTTTCAAATCTTGGTTCACTCGCGGCCACGTGGACACTTGGCAAACACTGTGCAGATGGAAGAAAGTAATCGGAGCAGAGTTCATTATATGGGGAATTCTGGGGAATTCTGGGGAAACGAGGAAGCAGCCCGTTACCTCTAAGAAAGGTGACCAAGGCCAGTTAGCCTCCCTCCAAAGGTGGGGTTCCCCCAACCTGGAAATACACCCAGATGCATTTGGATCTTGAACATCTAGCTTAGCGGTGACATGAGGCACGCCTGCCAGTTGTGCCGGTTGCGGTGAGGGTTTCTGGTCATGTGTCTTTCTCAGCGAACCTGTACTATGCAGCTCACAATCATAGTCCAAGCAGGAGCGGGCTGTAAGCAGGAACAGGACACACTTGCTGCTCAGACATCCAGGATACTGCTGCCAGGACCTTGGGCCAGGAAACCTGGGCTGTTTGAAATCAAATCAGTGAAATGGGACATCCTGATAATGGCTACAAAATCTGACCCACAAAGGACACTTTGAATCAGAGAAGTGGCCTCAATGTCCAGCCTGATGGAGGAGCTTCAGATATAGAAATTTAGGACAGAACGTTTGCCACTGACTTCTGAGAATCCTGAATCCACCTCTCAGCCCTGGCTTAGTATCTATCAGCTGTGTGTACAGCCCTGCTGGGCTTCATCTCTCCAGCCCATCTTCATTGGGTTTTACTGACCACCTTTCCCCAAATCTGCAAGGACGCTATCTATGCCTTTGTTTCTCTAGAAGCCCCTGGGTTGTTTGAGGCGAAAGCTCTCTTGATGAACCAGTCAGAAAACTTAACTTTCGTGTTCTCTGGCTTTTGGGCTCCATCAAAGGAAAATGTGCCTTTCTATCCTTGTTACGGCATCTCTCCGAAGAAACAAACATCGCTCCCCAACACCTCCCACACTCTCTGGCATATAATGCATGGTATTTGTGGGCTGAACAGATATTTTTGGTTCTGATGTTTGCTAGAAACAATACCTAATAGTCCTACTGTTTTTAACTTTTATTATGGAAAATTGTGAACACATATAAGAGTGGAAAGGATGGTAGAATGGCTCCACATGAGTCTCTCTGTTCAGCATGAAAAATCACCATAATTTTCCAATCATGTTTCATCTATTCTTTCCCTTTGTTCCTATTTTTTTTTACTGGAATGTTTTTAGAGAAATTGAAGCTATCCGATTTTATCCTAAATATTCCAGTACGCATTTATAACTAGGAAATTTTTTTTTATTGTCTAACCATTAAGTCATTATTGCAATTATAGAAATTAACAATTACTCCCTGACTTTACGTGGACTATATTCTAAGTTTGCTGTTTCAAAATTAACTTGTTGATGTGTTTGAATCAGAACCCAAAGGCCACCTACTACTTGCAGTTATTACAACACTTACACCTGCTCTCTCCTTTTCATATCATTAACCCTACATTAGAAGACTTGGATCAGCTGCGTGTAGAACGTGGAGTGTCAACGCAGTTGTCTAACCTGTCCTCCAGCTGTTGTCTGCCCTGTTAAACTGAAAGTTACACCCGAGGCTTGCTTGCAGTCAGGTTGGACTTCACAGACCAGGAGGTTCAGGGCCAGCTGTGGCCTTCTCCCTTCTGCTCTGACATTGGCCTGCCCCCCCCACAAGTGATGTTTCTTCAGCACGAGAAGCCCCTGTGTCGCTGGCATCTTCTGTCCGACCAGGGTTCTCCATCAACATTTCTTAGGATGGATTTTACACCTGCTGATGGTTGTGGCCTGGACTCATTATTTCACCAGGTATCAAAAAGAAAAAAATCCAAAATGGCTTTCTAATTCTATCATTGTATTTGTCTATAAAGAACTTTTAGCCAGGTACGGTGGCTCATGCCTGTGATCTTACCACTCTGAGAGGCTGAGTCAGGAAGATTACAGATTCCAGCTCACCCTGGGAAACTTAGCAACTTAGCAAGACCATTTCAAAATGAAAAAATCAAAGAAAAAAACAGCTAAAGATGTTCAATTCCTAGTACTGAAAAAGCCAAAAAAGGAAAGAAAAATAATTTTTACATTAACTATTTGCAGACTCTAAAATAAGGCTTACACAGAAAAAAAACAAATGTTTTCGTATGAATTCTTAGGATAAAGTGTTGATCTAGTCAATTGTTTGTTTGTTGGGGGATGCAGATGGATTTGTGAATTTTTATGTATTTGATATGCTTCAATCCTTTACATTTCGCTTTTTGACTTAAATTATCCCCTTTGGGCTGGGGTACGCTTTGTCTGTTTGACCTTGTCATTAGCTTCTGAATTTTTCTTTGTGAACAGAATGTCTTTGGCTCCATTCCTGTCCCTGACCTGGGAGGAAGCGCCTCTCCAAGGACCCTGGCTTCTGCACCCCCAGTGTCTTAGTTACTTTTCCTCATTGCTGATACAAAATACCCAACACCCAAAGTTAAGGGAAGAAAGGTTTATTGGGCTTGCAGTTTGTGGAGGTTTCAGTCCATTCTTGGCTGGCTCCAAGGCAGGGTGGCATGGCAGAGGGGCGCTGCAGAGGAGAAACAGTCCATGGGAGGGAGAAGGCAGGAGGGCAGCAAGCAGCAAAGTAGCAAGTGACAACAGCAGCCCTCTTTCTGTCCCTTAAATTGTATACAGGCTACCCGCCCTTAGGGTGAGTAGCATTCACACCCAGGTGGGGAACCCTTATTCCCAGCATCGAACTACAAATAAGTCCAGCATCGCATCCTTAATTGAAACATCATGCACTCTTGATCCAGCCAGCTCCAGAAAGCTCCACCTATGCCAGCATGAGGCTTTGGGGGGATATCTAGGCACAAGCCATAACATGCCGGGTGGTGGGTGGTGTGCTCACTGCTGAAGTTGTCAGTATTTTGGATTTCTCATTTTAGGAATCATAAAATCGCATTCATTTTTATTTCACAATCAACAAGATAAATGGGCAGAATTTTCACTTAAAAGTTTCAAGTAATAAATTTAGTGCTTAAAGTTACTAACCTAGAGACTTCATCCATTAAGTGAGTCACCCTACTTAAAGAACCTGATGATAGCTATGCTTTGCAAATCTACTCACAATATTGATGTTTTTTTCTAGGGAGAAGGCATCAAATAAGATAAAGGCTTGTTCACCCAGGGCCACTGCACCTGCCCCCGCTCCAGTTCGCATGGCCCATGTCCTCCCTGTTTGCCCTCCATGTTCAAAGCATGGGCCTGGGTTGGGAAACTGGTGTGGTAGGTTATGTGGGCCTCTAGCCTTGACTCCGAGGTCATTTAACCTTGCTGGGACGCTGACCTCCTCCGAGCTGGGTACAAACAGGAATATTTCTCTTTTTCCCATTAAGTTTATTGGTACATTTTAGCCATAAAATACAGTTACATTCATCACTGGGATCTTGTACCATTACTTGAGTATCTTGGTTCTTATTTTTTTCCCCTTCCCCTGCCCTCCCTTCATCCTCTCCACCCTTCCCTATTTGCAAAGACTTTTGTTTCCATTTTTCCCTTTTCTCATATTTTTTCTTTTCCCTTTTTTCCTTTCCCCTACCCCTCCCACTTCCCCTGCTCCTTTAGACCTTTTCTTCCCAAATAGGAATATTTCTTGGCCTGTCTTCTTCCTGTGGGCCGTGCTGAGGAGAAAACTGAGACGTGGGAGTTAAGTGGCTGAGCCAGCATAACAAGCTAGCTGGGACTTCCTAGCTTCAGAAGGCTGAGTTCAGCTGGCTGTGGTAGCACATGCCTGTAATTCCAGTCTTCTGGAAGGCTGAGGCAGCAGGATCGAAACTTAGTGAGACTCTGTCTCAAAAATAAGGAAAACGCTGAGTATGGGTTGAGCCCTGGGTTCAATCTTTAGTACTGCACAAAAGAAAAAAAAAAGTTTGAGTTTAGGAGAACTCAGGGTAAACAAAGCATATGCCATGCAAGATGTGCTGAAGTCACAGCTACTGTGGAATGACAACTGTCTCCGTTGGTTTCTCCTTCCCTGCCTCACAGGTGCAGGAAACGGACTTCTAACCAAGTCTCTCCGGAGCTTCTTTCTTGCTCCAATGTCAAGAGAAACAGCCCAAGCTTTCAGCTGCAGTGTGGACCCCGCAGCTCTGGAGTTCCCGGAGCTCAGGGTCGCCCAGCAAAGCCCTGGCTCTCGGCTCCCTGCAGGGAGGTGCAGGCTCTGGTCCGGTGCTCAGTTCAGCATCACAGAGCCGTGCACAGCCTGCAGCGTGCACTAGGCCCCCTGGGCCAGAGCAATATGAGGAGACACGGAACGAGCTTCTTCGCCCTTGCGGCTGCGGCTGATGAGACCCCTGTGTTCTTTGTTCTTTTTCGGTACCGGGGATCGAACTCGGGGCCTTGCGCTTGTGAGGCAGGCGGGGGCCCCACTGAGCTGCATCCCCGGCGCCCCTGTGCCCTGAAGTCCGACCTCTGTCCTCTTCGGGTCACTCTGCTTCCTCGCCCTTCCCCGTCCCTGCACAGCGCACTGCACGTGCCGGCGATGGACCCGAGGAACGTGAGCGCACTCCACACTCGGGTGTGTTCTGGACCCGTATTCCCCGGATCGCTGCGGGCCGCTCACCCCATCCCCGCCTCCCCGGGCCGCACCCGCAGTTCCGTGCACGGAGGCCCCTTCCCTGGCGGCCGCACGGCCCGAGCCAGGAGGGCGCTGCCCTCGGCGTGGGTGGGTGCTCCCAAGGCCTCGCACCCGGGGCGGGGCCGGGCGACAGTCCCGCCTCCCTCCCTGCCCCGCCCCCAGCCCCGCCCCGCGCCGTTTCCAGGCAACGGCCGATGCGGCCGGAGGCCGGCAGCCGGGGCGTGGACCTCGCTGAGGCGGGGGCGATGGACCCGGACGCCCCAGAGCGAGTGGAGGACCCAGAGGACAAGGAGATCACGGCCCACACGCTGCGGGGCCGGCCTCGGCCGCTGCCCCTCTCGGCCCTGTCGGCCTTCAGCTACGTCCCGCCGCGGCGCCGGGACCCGGAGGAGCACAGCTACTACCGCCGGCGGGGCCAGGTGGAGGGGCCTGGTGGGCGGGGCGAACAGGGCCAGGGGGGCGGGGGGAAGGTGGGCGGGGCCTGTGGGGCAGGCTGGGCGGGGGAAGGGGCGGGGAGAGCAGGGCCAGGTGGTCCGGGCCTGGTGGGGCGGGCGGGCGAGCCGGGGCGGGGCGAGCCGGGGCGGGGCCAGGTGGGCGGTGGCAGGGGACCCTGCTGGACAGCCCAGGACTCGGGACCCAGTCGGGATCCCGGTTTCTCAGAGGGCAGGGAGCCCCTGCAGCCTGCAAAGCTAAGAAAGCAAAGAGGAGAGGGCTGCGCGGAGACGGCCGCCCTGGCTGCTCGCTGGGTCGCTGGGTCGCAGGGTCGCTGGGTGGCGGGCGTCCGGGGCGGGGCCCTCACACCCCCTGCCAGCCCCTCACGCGGAGCAGCACTTTCCGCCCCTAGCGGTGGTCTCTTCCTGTAGTGTCACTGTCCTTGCTGTGAGGCTTGCTGCTCGGGCTGAGGACGCAGGTGTCACAGCTGCAAAGGGGCGGGGGAGAGGCACAGAGCGGGTTGCCGGGAGGCGGGTCCAGGCCCTCCCGGGGTGTGAGCTGTCCCCTCAGAGCGCATCCCGGTCCTCCTCCCCACCCTCAAGCCCAAAGCCCGGAGAAATCCCTTTCCATGTGTCCTGGAGCTTAGACCTCCAAACCCAGGCAGCCGCTGCCAGCTTCTGCGACTGGCAGGGGATAACTTGTGTCCCCCCGAGATTCATGCTGCGGAGCCCTAGTCCCCTATATCTCTGTACCTCGAATCACATCTCTACAGAGGTAAGCAGATTCAAGGATTCTTCATGGCAAGCCTGACCCGGTGTGGCTGCTGTCTGTCCGTAGGCAAAGGGAAAGTTAGGACAAAGAGACAGACACACACGGAGGGGAGGAGACCTGGAGACAGCCAGAGGAAAGCGCGGAGCAGCCAAGGGGGCCCGCAGCCGCCCACCCTGCTGGCCTGCGTGCACACCCCTAGCTGCTGGGACTGCGTGACCACACACTTGTGCCACCCGCGTCTGTGCCGCCAGCCCCGACGCCAGAAGACTGCATGCACACAGCCCAGCCTGCTCCCGGGCTCCTGTACCTGACAGCTCCGCTCCTGCCTCCCAGCAGCTTGCCAGGTCGGGTCGGCAGATGGGGGCCAGAGGGACACTGGCTGTCAGATCCGCCTTCACAGTTCTGCTCGCTGACCCTCCTAGACTGAGGGGGGTTTAAAGCTTCGGCTCCCCATTTCCTCGCTACCCTGGACCCCGTTTTCTCTCCTGTGGACAATATATTTTACATGAACTCTTCTCTGCAAATGATTCGCTTATGAAGTAAGTTTTATGTTTTATGCAGGTAATGTCTGTATGATAGCTAATTATTTTATGATTAATATATATAGCATTAAGGCACAGCATAAGATAAATAACCAGAAAATAATGTTTTCCATGGTCTATGCTGTTTTATTGAGAGAATGAATATAAGATGTGCTTGGCTATTTCTGAAGATAATTCAGAATATGCTACTTTAAGGGGGCCTGTTAAATACCACCTTCCTGCTATGAAGACCTAGGGCGGAAGATTAAGCAGGTTGCGGCTGAGAGACTTATTAAGGATAAAGACCACGTTACAGAGTTGCACAAAGGACTCTGAGCTCATGGCCCTGCTGTTCTGAATCTCAGACTGGGCAAATTTACACTTCCTGGGGACCCAGGGAAAAAGCAGATGGAAAGACATGCCAAGTGAAAAGGGACAGATGTGAGCCTAGCCGGTCCAGCTAAGTCTTCACTTTACTAGTCTGATAGATGGCTTCTCTTCTCAGAGCCAAACCAGCCAAGGGACAGAAACACCCAAGCCCCAGCCCTCAGGAGGAGATGAAGAGCAGGGCAGAAAATGTGCCTGTTAGTGCAGCGTGCACACACAGACCTTCATCAATAAAGTTTTATTAGAACACAGCCTCACAGACATTTGTTTCGGATTGCCCATAGTTATCACATGGAGCTGAGTAGTTTTGACAGAGACTGCATGACCTGTGAAGCATAAAATAATGACAAGGTGGCCTTTTACAGCAAAAGTTGCCCACCCCCGTTCTAACATATGACTGCCTTCTGGAAGGCAGAGATGGAACAAAGGGCAAATCAGTGCAAAGAGGATTTGGGGAAAACAAAACAAACAAAATTAAGGGTTTTGATAACTGGGATTGCAGACAAATTCAAGCCCCAAAGCCCTTAGTATCTCATGAGAGAAAACAATGTAGCAGAAATGTTAACACCTGGATGAAGAGTCTTGAAAGCAACAAGAACAGAAGACATTTCCAAGCCCTTTGGACAAGCTGGCCATCCACGGCAGTGATGAGCTCCCTGATGCCATCTGACCTGGTATTCAGTTAGCCACAGGAGTCAAGAAGCTGTTTCTCTGACCCCGAGCTCCCTGAGAGGGTGGCTTCTGTATCACAGGCTCGCTGAAGACTCAGCCGCAGCTCAGTGTAATGTGGAAACCTCTCAGAGTGAGTGCGTAAGTCAGGGCTTTGGTCCAGTGCCTGTGCCTCGTGCCCAAATTCATAAGTAACCATCCTCACCCGAGGTGATGGCGCTGCACGGTGACCCCTGGGGAGGTGCTTAGGCCCTCATGAATGGGGTTAATCACCTTACAAAAGGGACTGCAAAGAGATGCCAGCCCTCCCATCGTGTAAGGACACAGCGAAGGCCCCCTCTGTGGACGCGAAACAGCACACGCCCCAGACACCAAAGGCTCCGGCAGTGACCTTGGACTCTCAAGAGCTATGAGAAATGCAGTTGTGCTGTTCAGAAATTTCCTGGTCTGTGGGACTTTGCTGTAGTAGAAGGGACAGACTAAGACAGCGTATGACAGTAGCTTGTGTAGTGGTCAGCTGATGATACCAGCTGAAGTCCTGGGCAAACTACTGGCTCCATGTTTCCTCTCTGTGTGGAACTGCCCAGGTCACACATGCTCGGCCTGGCTCTATCCCTCTATGAGACCAACAGTGTCAGCTTCATGGGGCCCTGATGAGAATGAATCAAACTGGCCTGGGGTGTGGCTCGGTGGTAGAGCACTTGGCCAGCATGTGCTAAGGCCCTGGGTTCAATCCCCAGCACTGAAAAAAAATTTAAGTAAACGAACGAGTGCCAAGTAACATGAAGCAAGCACAGCTATTGTTATTTTGCTTTTGTTCGTGAATAGTTTGACTTTCCTTTCACTAAGTGCTGAGCCCAGTAGCCAAACTAATAATCGCTGACCTCCAGTCACTTCGCGACTCACACGGTCTAGTGGCTGTACTCTAACAGAGCCTGCCCCAGGGAGCCCACGGAATTAAGGCGCTGAAGGCTGAGCACTTATTTAAAGCCTCAGTGATGCCTCTGAATCACAAGACAGATTTGTCCTCTCAAGCTGCCAGCCAAAATGTGCCCAGCTCTGGTACCGCTCCCGAGGAGGCTCTGGAGACACATGAAATGCGGTCCCAGGGGTTACAAAGCAGCTTCAGCTCAATGGCATTGCCAAATTACTTTCTCCTTTCTCTGCCTTGTGCAGCATTTCTGCTGCTAAAATGGAAAAGCCAAGTCAAAGGAGACTGCCCTTTTATGAAGGTTTTGATTAAATTCCTCAAAGTCTAAGAGTTAAGCTTAGAAAAAAAAAACAGCCTAAGGGGTTTTACGTTTTATACCCTGCTCTCCCAGGTGCTGGCTTGAGCAGTTCTGTTTTGAGGGACACTTTCTGTTCAGGCCTCACCTTAGTTCTGGTGGCCTTAGAGATGCAGACCCGGAGCCCAGGGCTGACTGTGTCTTCATGTAGCAAGAGTTCTACCTCCCGGTGCCCGACTCCCTCGGCTGGAGCGGATTGCTTTGCTCTGGGAGGTTGTGGATGTGTGCTGCCCCTCCAGGGTGCAGAGTAACGCTCTGAGGCCAGGGCCAGCACCCCGTGTGCAGCCAGTGCTCAGTAAGAGCCCCTGTCCCTGGCTCTGTGGCACCTTTCCCATTTCTAGTCACCTGCCACCTGGGCCACGTGCACTCGGCCACTCCTAGTGGGCTGTGGAGGAAAGAGCGAAGGGAAGCTGGGGTCTTTTCCACTCCTGGAGCTTCCTCCCCACAGGGCAGCAGTCTCTCACAGGCATGCGCCTCCGGTGGCAATAAGCTTTGACCTGGGCTCCCTTCCTCTCTCCACGCTGGCTTTTCTCCTTTGTACCTCTGGTTTCTAACCTGCTAAACATTTCACTCAGTTGTCTTGCTGTCCTTGTTTTTCTGCTGCTAAATTATGCGCTGCACAAAGGCAGGGATTCTCCATCACTGCTATCTCTTCAGTCATCAAAACAGGGCTTCCTGCTCCCATAAATGCTAGCTGAGTGAGTGGCCCAGGAGTGAATAAACACAAGCCAAGTTTTAAAACAAACACAGTGGTCACCTCTTGGAAGGACTTGCTTCACAAGCTGAGGCGTGCCTTCTGTTTGGCTCTTCGCTGTTTTGGTTGTGTGGCCCTCCCTGTGCCTGCGGAGCTTGGTAGCGGGAGTGGGCTGACTGCAGTTTGCTCTCTGGCACTCTCTCCCTCCCTCTCCTTGCCTTTCACTGTCCAGAGACCACTGGTCCTTGTGACTGCAGGTCTGTGGAGTGGGGCTGGGAATCTTCCTCTTTCTCCAGGGCAGGAGGGGCTCAGCCCACCTTCTCTTGAGAACCCACAGTGACCAGGAGGCTGGGTGTCTTCCTCATGGGAATGAGTGTTTTCCTGTGATCCTAGCCCCACAGACACCTGCGATGTGTCTTCAGCGTGTGCCAGTGTGGGCAGTGTTGTGTCTAGTGTGTCTAACTGAGCACATGTTCACGCACAGAAGATAGCACAAATATGTACGTATACATTTGCAGCGTGCTTCTTTCATTTAAAAGTCTACTTCAGACTGCCTCAGTTTACCCCCTTCCAGGAGCATAGTCAGCTTTTTGTTTCCATAACGGAGCGCCTGACGTGGGAGACTGAGTAGGAAAGGAGGGTTTCTCGGCTCTCAGTGCAGAAGGCTGGGGATGGGAACAGCAGAGGCCCGGCTGGGCGACCTGTTGGCTGCATGGCCATGTGCTCCGCACAGCAAAGCTGCAAGCGTGTGGCAGGGACAGCAGTCATATGCTGAAACAGGAAGTGGAGAGAGACTGGGGCCCATCCAGAGCACGTTCCCAGCAACCTGGTGACCTTCCGCCAGGCCCTGCCTCTTGACGGTCCCACACTGTGACCCTAACCCTGATCTGTTACCTTTACTGGGTTAAGAAGGGGCTAGCAGATGGACGGAGTATGTCGTATCTGCTGGATCTGGTGGATCGCGGAGTCCTGAGATTGGGCAGCATATCTGGTCCCTGCTCGTTCCTCTCTGGCACTGTCCACCGCTCTGCTCCCTGGCTAAGCATCTTTGCTCTGCCATGCCCTTCAACCATCAGGTTTCCGCCTTGTACCAGCTGACCACGGACTACATTTCTTGAAAGTATGAGTCAAATTAAACTTCTCATCTTTAAGTTGTGGTGGCCAGTGCCATGTCCCAGCAACAGGAAAGCTGACTGATACACACAGCATCTTCCATTCTCCACCCTGGGGGCCACACTGCCTACATGTGAACCTCGAGGGAGACACACATCATATTCAAAGCACAGCAAAGATTCAAATAATAATAATCAGTAAATGTTGAAGAAAAGCATTTTCCCCAGTAGATTTGACAAGGGGGAAAGTGTAAGATTAGATTCAAGCATCAGCCTGTGATGTGGATTTCTGGGGACACGGAGTAGAAGATGGACCCAGTCAGCTCCATGACCATTCAGTCTCCCCTTGGCCACCAGTGGGCCCCTGGGACTGACCAGAACTATGGGGTCAGAACACATCCATACTGTGGGACAAACGTGTCAGAGGAAGAGGTCTACTGGCTTCAGTTCAAGGGTAAAATATTCAAATTATTTGAAAAGCCATACAAATTCCCAAAGTTTATGATATTAATATACCTAGAGAGGAGATAGAATCTTTTACACAGACAAATGAAAGAGAATAGCTGAGCATAGTCCTTTCAAGAATGCTCACATCTTGTCCTTGATAAGCTGAGGTCCTCTAAGGTACAGGATCTTAAGTGCTGTTGAAATTCATGAAAATATTCTGACTGAGCTTCACACACACTGCTTAACTTCGAAGGAGAAACTCTGGGTTTATCAGAAGTACAAGGAGGCCCCTGTGAATCAAAGGCACTATTGTGGGTTGCCTGGGGAAGTTTCTGTTCTGTTCTTTCCAGGTCCATGATGAGACGGGACTCATGGTGGGGAGAAGTGGTAGAAGGAAGTGGCTCATCTCCTGGCAGGGAGAGA